AACACTGCTGAAACTTTTACTTTGCTCTTGGAATTTATCTTAAGGAGGACTCTGTTGGAATTCAAATTAGGTTCTTAAGCCTGTCTGCAATAATTCTTCTTTTTTTTTTTTAAATATGGAACACTTCACGAATTTGCGTGTCATCCTTGTGCAGGGGCCATGCTAATCTTCTCTGTATCTTTCCAATTTTAGTATGTGTGCTGCCGAAGCAAGCACTGCAATAATTCTTAAAGCATGAGTCAGCACCACTATTTCTACAGTTACTTTAAATCCTTTGCCAGCGTTCCATTGTTTATACATTTGTGGATGTGCAAGGGTATTTTTTAACACTAATGATTCTTATCCAAGCTACGTCATTTAAGTCATTTTTACTAAATCACCATGGATTTTTCAAAGCAGCCTATTTTAACACATTATAACAGATTAGGCCTTATTAACTACTTTGACATAATAATAATCCCTATGGTCTCCATCAGAGGCCTTTTCCTTCATAACTACTATTACAGTGCCCCCTGCAGGTCGCCAAGTAGAGGTGCATCCTGAGCAGGCATATTTCTTAAGGATGTTTGTCCTTATGCCTCTTTAATAGACAGAATGAAATAATAACAAATTGAAATTTCCCTGGAACTTCAGATAAATTTATTTCTGTGTCTATAATCTTAGTGTTATATCAAGTTTAATCAGAGACTTTTTTTTTTTGAGATCGAGTCTTGCACTGTCGCCCAGGCTGCAGTGCAGTGACATGATCTTGGCTCACTGCAATCTCCACCTCCTGGGTTCAAGCAGTTCTCCTGCCTCAGCCTCCCGAGTAGCTGGGACTACAGGCATGCACTATCACGCCAAGCTAATATTTTTTAGTAGAGACAGGGTTTCACTATGTTGGTCAGGATGGTCTCAATCTTCTGACCTCATGATCTGCCCACCTGGGCCTCCCAAAGTGCTGGGATTACAGGCATGAGCCACCGTGCCCGACCTAAAGTTTTTTCAATTTTATTATTATTATTATTATTATTATTATTATATTATTATTTGAGATGGAGTCTAGCTTTGTTGCCAGGCTGAAGTGCGGTGGCACAATCCCAACTCACTGCAACCTCCACCTCCCGGATTCCTCCCGGGTTCAAGCAATTCTCCTCCCTTAGCTTCCAGAGTAGCTGGGACTACAGGTGCATGCCACCATGCCCAGCTAATATTCTGTATTTTTTAGTAGAGACGGGGTTTCACCACGTTAGCCAGGATAGTCTTGATCTCCTGACCTTGTGATCTTCCCGCCTCGGCCTCCCAAAGTGCTGGGATTATAGGTGTAAGCCACCACACCCGGCCAGATTTGTAAAACTCTCATTACTTTTTCAATACACAAAAATATTACAAAGAAAACAAAACGTGTTTATAATAGTATTTCCCAGATAACAGCCTTAAAAAATAATATTTATCTAGGTGCAGTGGCTCACACCTGTAATCCCAGCCTTTTGGGAGGCTGAGGTGGGAAGATTGCTTGAGCTCAGGAGATCAGCCTGGGCCACATAGTGAGACCACCCCTGCTGTCTCAACAAAACATCAAAAAATAAGCCAGGGATGGTGGCGTGCACCTGTTCCAGATACTCAGGAGGCTGAGGCAGGAGAATTGCTTGACCCTGGGAGGTGGAGGCTGCAGTGAGCCATGATCATATAATTATACTCCAGCCTGGGCAACAGGATTGAGACTCTGTCTAAAAAAAAAATTATGTTTGCCATTAGAAATAAATCATTTCTATAATTAAAAAATAAAATTCATCATATTATATTTTGAGTATGTTTGTATTTGAAGGTTTTTTGTTGGTGGTGGTGGTTTTTTTAAGGGAGATGCCCACTCGTTGGTCCCCCTGGGGGCTCAGGCAGTGGACCTTTAAGGTTTTTTTTTTAGTTGGAAGATATTTGAAAATGTGATATTTATGGTTCTGAAAGTCCTTCATAGGTCATGTGAAAAAGTAAGCATTCTGTTTCACTTTGGATGCTCTGAAAAGCAGACTGAAAGATAGGAGTCCACGTGCTAGAGAGAGACCTACTGGGGAAGTGTCTGTAAAGAATAAAGGGAAGAGAGCAGGAGTAAGCAAGGAGAGGCTGCAGAAATCCATGCTTGTCTGACACCCGGGGAAAGGAGAAAGGGAAGGATAGGCGTCTCAGACTTCAGTGCAAGCTAACATAAACTTAGCCAGGCTGATGGAGAGTCCTTGAGCCAAAGTCTCATTACAGGAATCCTGCATCTTGTAAGAATGGCCTGAGTTAATAGCCCCCCATGCTCACTGATGCTGTGGCAGAGAAGGTTAGAGGGCAGCAATGTTCATAGAAGCTGGCTTTCAGCCAACCATGGGTCCCTGGCTAGTTTTTGTTTTTGTTTTTGTTTTTGGTAGCTGGTGTGCAGCTATAGTTTTTTTTATTTTTAATACAGATGGGGTTTCGCTGTGTTGGTTAAGCTGGTCTTGAACTCCTATCCTCAGGTGATCCACCCATCTCAGCCTCCCAAAGTGCTGAGATTACAGGCATCAGCCACTGTTCCTAGCCAGGTATTTCTTTACAGCAGTTCAAGAACGTACATACACTCTCCCATGAGTCATTATTAAACATACAAAAACCAATAAATTCCTAAGGTTTTAGAAGCTCCATGCCAGGAACTCAGGACAAAGACTAAATTTTTATTTTCTTTTTTGCTATACTACAGACAAATCCTTTATCTTTGACCACCTATTCCTTATAGCAAAAGAATCATCAGAGTTAAAAGACAGCAGCACATTTCTAAAACCCCATTCAGTCATTAATAATCTGTCCAGTCGTCAGCCTGTCATATGAAAATGCCTCCCGGGGTGTGGCCACTCAGGCTTCCATTTGATCTCTCCAGGTTTCAAAAGCAGAGTTCTTAGCAATATGTATCTTCATTATTTCAGCCATCTAATATAATTGAGCTAAGAGACAATATTATCCCTCACTTTGAGTTTCTTTGGAGGTCTTAATGAATATTGGATTTCCCTCATTATATAACCCATTTATGTATTCCTTTACTCTCATCTACTATTTCTCTTTATTGCCACGCATACCCGAGATTTTTTGGCTTTGGAAGGAATATTTCGTTCATCTACTGTGCTGCTCTGGATTGCAGGCAGTAAAACTAGTGATGGGGTTCAGGACACACTACTCCAAAATAGTATAGGACCTGAGCATTTGAGAAAACAGCAAAAGCAAAGAGGTCATTTTCACCTTCCCCTCACTCCTTCTCCCCTGAAGCAGGCCATAACCATTGAAAGAATACTCTGGCCATCTGCCCTGAGGCAGGCCATAAAACCTGGTGTCCTTCCCTGAAGTAGGTCATAAGACCCCCATTTGAGAGGCACCCTCCCCTTACATAGAGAAAAGGAACATCCTTACCTCTGAAGACACAAGGACACAGAGAAGAACCTGAACTAACAGTCCATGCTAAGTTCTCCCGGCTTATTACCATTAGATCGTACTCCCTTTGCATAATCATACTCCTGCATGACTGTCCACTCTTTATCAACCCGACAACAATTGTCTTCCACCCCTTCGTTGAAATTTCATTATCTACTGACTGCAAGAAGACTGAAAGTCAAACATCAAATCTAGAGCCCAGAGGAACTTTGTCAGAAGCCATTGATTTCCGCCTGGGCTCATCCAACTTCCAAAAAGAATCCTTTGCAAGCAATCATCCATCTCTCAGGCTCATCCAAAGAACCATTTGTGACCCTCAAAAGTACTTACATTCCTCCATCTCCCTCACCCCTATGAAAAAGTGTACATAAGCATCTGAACCTCATGGGGTTATTGGGTAATCACTCTCCTGTGATTTTCTCCAGGGCATATTGATAAATTTGTATGCCAGCCAGGAGCGCTGGCCACATCAGTAATCCCAGCACTTTGGGAGGCTGAGGCTGACAGATCACCTGAGGTCAGGAGTTCGAGACCAGCCTGCTCAACAAGGTGAAACCTCGTCTCTAATAAAAATACAAAAAATATTAGCCAGGCTTAGTGGCAGATGCCTGTAATCCCAGCTGCTCAGGAGGCTGAAGCAGAAGAACCTCTTGAACCCGGGAGGCAGAGGCTGCAGTGAAAGGAGATGCTTTCGCTGCACTCCAGCGACAGAGTGAGACTCGGTCTCCAAAAAGGAAAAAATAAAAATAAATTTGTATGCCCTTCTCTTCTGTTCACCTTTTCTTTTGCTAGTTCACGCCAGTGAACCTTTAGAGGGCAGAGCTTTCCCTTCACCCCTACAAAACGAAGGCAAGAAACTTAATTGTAGGGAATAAATATATAAGCATTAATTATATATATATGCATGTATTTTGTGTTACTCAGCCAAACACGACTGCTGGACAACAAATGTGTCACACTAATTCAGTAGTCTGATATTATGCTGACTTTCATTTAAAAAACCATCGCTTTACGTGTGTGTGTCCACTCACCTTATCATTTACATTAAATGAACCAGCACACTATGACTGTGCCCATCATGAAACTATCAGAACATTACAAATCCATGTATCGTTTAAATTAGGCTGAAGTTTTCTAAAAGCAAGGTAACACACAGAGCATGACTGGAGAGTTCTAGAAGAGACAACCCCAAATGGTTATTAGTATTCTAGACGTTTCAGTGAGTGAGGGGCACTAAAATGCAGTTTCAAAGCTAAGAACATATCCATCGTAGCGTATCCATTGTGGTATCGCAACGTTGCTACGCAACTCTGATTCTTGTAACCACTGCTGGTCTTAAAATGACCCTGTCAATCGTGTTCATTTTGCTAGCTTTGCGTCTTTGTGACAGGTCGCCCAGCAGTCGCAGGCCACCGAAACGCGGTTCGCGGCCCTGTGCAGGGGTGCCGGCACGGACCCGCCTTCCGGGAGAAACCGCCAGCAGGAGCAAAGGAGGAGCAGAGCGCGAGGCTGGGGACCCGCCCGCGCCCGTCCTCAGCCCCCGCGCCCCGTCCCTCCGCGGAGAGCACAGCGGCCCGTGCGCCGGCGCAGGCCCCGCCCCCTCACTGGGCCACGCCCCCTGGTCGGGCCCCGCCTCGCCGCCGCCACAGGATGCGGGCCCTGCGCGCCGGGCACTAGACCTCTAGTGCAGCCCGAGGCGGCGGCGGCAGCATGGAGGGCGAGAGCACGTCGGCGGTGCTCTCGGGCTTTGTGCTCGGCGCACTCGCCTTCCAGCACCTCAACACGGACTCGGACACGGTGAGCCGAGGGACGGGGCGGGGTCCGGAGTCGCCTGGGAAGAGCCCTGCGCGCGGCCTGCCTCCCCGCCGTTGCCCTGGTCCTCGCCCGCGGGCACCCCCGACGTCACCGCGCCTCCTCCCGGCTGTCGCGGCTCTGCCTTCTCTCCCCCTCTGCGGTCCCTCAGATGTCGCGTGCCCACGAAGTCGTCTCCAGCATGAGCCCTCCCTTTGCTACCCTCCGTGTACTTCTCTTTTCCGACCCAAGTGTCCCACACTCCCCCATCTTGCCTCAGCGCCCCTTTCGCTGTGGAAACTTGGGCGTGAAAAGATGGAAAGTTCACGGAGCGTCCAACCGCTGCTCTGCGGAGCCTGCGGTTAACTTTCCGTTTCTCGCGACGCCCGACGGACGTTTGCAAAGCCAGCCGGACTTTTTGGGTGTGTTGAGATGGTAGGATCGTGAGGGAATAAAAATAGCTGTTGCATCCAGTGGCTCTTTTTTTGGCAAATCTTAGTGGGTAGAACAGCTTAATCTGGTATATAAGATAACTTTTTATTTGCGTTATTAAATTTGTTAAACGTTTTTTAAAGTACATTGCTTATTTTCTTAGTTTTGTGAATCAGAGAACCACTGTAAAACTGAGCTCGAAAGTCGTTTATGTCCTGTAGTACTTTCAGTAACTTGCAGAAAGAAATTCTAAGCATCTAAAATACACCTCCCTGCTGTGTAATACAGTTCGGAGAATATCCTGCTGTACAATGCCTAGTAATTTCTGCTAAGTTCATTTTAAGATATAACGTCTGTCTTACAATTGCCTTAATATAGGCGGGGCGGGGCGGCTCACACCTATAATTCCAGCACTTTGGGAGGCCGAGGCGGGTGGATCACCTGAGCCCATGAGTTAGAGACATCAGGGACAACCTAGTGAGACCCAGTCTCTACAAAATATAAAAATTACAAAACTGCTTTCTAGCACGATCCTAATAAAGGTTGGAATTGGTATATTTTATTTATACAATTTCATATAACCTTATAAATTAATACCCAGTAAAGAGCAAATATATGACAATTTAAAATGTATGTGTAGCTGTGGAAATTATGTTTGAATGTCTTTAGCGTAGGTAGAATGGATCCTTAAGTCCTCAGGATTAGCCCTTGGGAAGTACCTGAGTGCTAGAGAGACCCCTGTTTCTCAGATCTTTTTCTGAAAGCCTTTAAAGGTGGTTTTTCTGGGTAGTCGCACTTGAATTGCCCCTGCTTGCCTTCCCTGAGTTTGCCTTTGGGAGTATCAAAATCAAGAATGCTAGATTCTGGATTTAGAAAATCAAGAATGCTAGATTCTGGATCCCCGTGTAATTCCAGTAAAGACTCATATTATGGAAATACCCCTTTTTTACTTTTAGGGGGAAAAAGCATCATTAATTATAAAGAATATAAAATCTTCCTGTAATTCCAGCACTTTAGAAGGCAGAGGCAGCGGGATTATTAGAGCCCAGGAGTTAAAGACCAGTCTGGGCAACTTAAGGAGACTTCATGTCTACAAAAAAAAAAAAATTTTTTTTAAAGACAGTGTCTTGCTCTGTCGCCAGGCTGGAGTGCAGTGGCTCAATCTCGGCTCACTGCAACCTCTGCCTCCTGGGTTCGAGCGATTCTTCCACCTCAGCCTCCCAAGTAGCTGGGACCAGAGGCTTGTGCCATCACGCCTGGCTAATTTTTGTATTTTTAGTAGAGGCGAGGTTTCACCATGTTGGCCAAGATGGTCTCGATCTCTTGACCTCATGATCCGCCCACCTCGGCCTCCCAAAGTACTGGGATTACAGGCATGAGCCACCACGCCTGGCCAAAAAAATTTTAAAAATTAGCCCAATGTGGTGGCGCATGCCTGTAGTCTCAGCTGCTTGGGAGGTTGAGGCAGGAGGATTGCTTGAGCCCAGGAGGTCAAAGCTGCAGTGAGCAGTGATTGCACCAGTGCACTCCAGCCTGGGTGACAGAGCTAGACCCTTGTCAAAAAGAAAAAGATATAAAGTCTTCATTGTCTGTCAAGCACGTTGGGTCTTTCAGTGGGCCTAGAGAAATGTAATTCTCCGAAACTCAGATAAATTACCACTGAGGTGGCAGAATACAAGTAGTTTTAAAAGAATTAGGCTCTCAGCACTCCTTTTAGAAAGCAGACTCTGAAATTGAATTTTAATCTTTCATATTGTGCATGAGTTTTAATCAGAAAACACTAATCATGTCGTTTCATAACTCTGAAGGTTTCTCTAACTCCCAGAAGCACATGTGGTTAAATCCAGATTCTTTGGCTGGTCATTCAGGGTGTTCCATTATTGGCTGGCTCTAATTTATCTTTGATTTCCTTCTGCTCCAAGGCAAAGTGCTCTACTCCCTGCTCAGTATGTGCTCATTTCTGGCTTTAAGTCTTCTGTCCTTACAAGTGTGCTGAGTGTTCCATGCTCTGCCTACACATATATTGCCCAGCCCTTTAAAGTCTAATCTGTGCTTGCTCTCCAGGGCCTTCTCTAATTATTTTGGGCCAGGTTAATCTCTTTCTGCTTCCTCCCCTCTTTATTTCTACTTTTTTTCTTTTGAGACAGGGTCTTACTCTGTCACCTGGGCTGGAATACAGTGGCGTGATCACAAATCACTGCAGCCTCAACCTCCTGGGCCTAGGTGATCCTGAGTAGCTCGGACTACGGGCGTGTGCCAGCATGCCTACTTTTTCTTGTATTTTTTTTTTTTTTTTTTTTTTAAAGAGAGGGGTTTTACTGTGTTGCCCAGGCTAGTCTTGAACTCCTGGGCTCAAGCCATCTGCCCACCGTGGTCTCCCAGTGCTGGGATTACAGGTGTGAGCCACTGTGCCTGGCCTCTTCTCATTTTTATTTAACTCTTCATGTTTCCCAAGTACACTAGAAGCATCTTAGATCTTTCTTGTGCCTCCAACTGGTAGCACATACTTGTATATGTAGTAAAATACCCAGTCAATACTGGTTAGTTAAGTGACCGAACAGTAATTCTATCAGTGTATTCCATATACTGCCTCTTTATCTTCATAGGAAGGTTTTCTTCTTGGGGAAGTTAAAGGTGAAGCCAAGAACAGCATTACTGATTCCCAAATGGATGATGTTGAAGTTGTGTATACGATTGGTGAGTCATTTATTTCTCCTATATTTGAGTCATTTGTGTCTCCTGTATATGATAGTTTATGCTGAAAGGGGTCAGCATAGTGGTTTTTTTTTTTGCTTGTTTTGAGGTGGAGTCTTACTGTGTTGCCCAGGCTGCAGTGCAGTGGCATGATCTCGGCTCACTGCAACCTTTGCTGCCCAGGTTCAAGCGATTCTCCTGCCTCAGCCTCCCAAGTAGCTGGGATTATAGGCGCCTGCCACTGCACTCACCTAATTTGTATTTCTAGTAGAGACGAATTTCACCATCTTGGCCAGGCTGATCTTGAACTCCTGACCTTGTGATCCACCCGCCTCTGCCTCCCAAAGTGCTGGAATTACAGGAGTGAGCCACTGCACCCAGCCAAATTACTGTTTTTAAATCGAGAAATATAGAGGCTGGGCATGGTGGCTCACACCTGTAATCCCAGCATTTTGGGAGGCCTACGTGGATACCTGAGGTTGGAAGTTCAAGACCAGCCTGGCCAATATGGTGAAACCCGTCTCTACTAAAAAATACAAAAATTAGCCAGGTATAGTGGTATACGCCTATAATCCCAGTTACTTGGGAGGCTGAGGCATGAAAATTACTTGAACCTGGGAGGCAGAGGTTGCAATGAGCCAAGATCGTGCCACTGCACTCCAGCCTGGGCAACAGAGTGAGACTTTGTCTCCCAAAAAAAAAAAAAAAAGCAATATATATTAAATTTAAAGTAATTTAAAAAAAGGATATGTTACACTTATTTTGCAGTTAAAATTATGGCCATGGACTGATCTAAAGTAAGAAATAGTATGAGACTTAGGAAGCAGATAAGATTACTGCCAGGGAAAAATAGGATGAAACACCTGCAATTTAGTTGGCAGGAAGATGGCCCAGTAATAGGAAGACCAAGGAAAAAGAGAAAATGTTAAGTACTGCAGAAAAGTTGCAAGATGAGAACTGAAAAAATGCAGTAATTGGTTTATTAGCTGACTGAAAATCATCAGTAATTTCTGGAGTGTAATGGGGAAGAGACCAGGCTGCAAAGGGTTTGAGGGGTGGGCAGTAAAGCAGTTATAGCGGGTGGCAGCTTTTCTTTCAGCGAAAAGAAAAACGGGGGAACATTTAAAATATATAGGGAAAAAAATGTTAAAAATAAATAACATGGGCTGGGCGCAGTGGCTCATGCCTGTAATCCCAGCACTTTGAGAGGCCGAGATTGGTGGATCACCTCAGGTCGGGAGTTTGAGACCAGCCTGACAAATATGGAGAAACCCCATCTCTACTGAAAAATACAAAATTAGCCAGGCATGGTGGCACATGACTGTAATCTCAGCTACTTGGGAGGCTAAAGCAGGAGAATCACTTGAACCTGGGCGGTGGAGGTTGAGGTTGTGGTGAGCCGATATCACACCATTGCACTCCAGCCTGGGCAATGAGCGAAACTCTGTCTCAGTCAATCAATCAATAAAATGAATGAATGAAACATATAGGGAGTTTTCTGATTATCTAACATACAGTTTTTCTCTGTATGTGTATATATATTTTTAAGCAAAATTGGTGGTGTATATATATTTTTAAGCAAAAAAGGTTTGGCATCATATTGTGCCAGGATCACTTTTTGGTGTTACATAATCCTCTACAATATCGTTTTTCTTTTCTTTTTTCTTTTCTTTTCTTTCTTTTTTTTTGTTTTTTTTTTGGAGGTAGAATCTCACTCTGTTGCCCAGGCTGGAGTGCAGTGGCGCGATCTTGACTCACTGCAATCTCTGCCTCCCAGGTTCAAGTGATTCTCCTGCTTCAGCCTCCCGAGTAGCTGGGATGACAGGCACCTACCACCATGCCTGCCTAATTTTTTGTATTAGAGACAGGGTTTCATCGTGTTGGCCAGGCTGTTCTCAAACTTCTGACTTAAAGTGATCTACCTGCCTTGGTCTCCCAAAGTGCTGGAATTACAGGCGTGAGCCATCATGCCCGCCTACAATATCATTTTTCATAACTGCATTGTATTCCACTCTGTGGCCTTACTGTGATTTAAGCAGTCCTTTAAATAAGTTAAAATGATCTGTTTCCAGTTTTTCATTATTATAAAGTATACTACAGTGAACATCCTTGTATATCAATATTTGGCTTTATCTATTATAGATTCCTAGATATGGTATTACTGTGTCACGGGGTATGAACACTCACAAAGTTTTTGATCTGCATTAGCAGATTGCTTTCCAGAAAGATTTTATCAGTTTCCACTCATACTGTATGTTATTTTTGTTTGCTACTTTAAAAGTTTAAAAATAGAAATATGTAAAGTAAGAAATAAAGCATTTAAACTCTCATTAATTTCCTTAGTGGCAACTACTGTTCCATGGATATTTTTTACTAGCTTGCAATATTCACAAAACACACAAATGTAAGAGAGAGAGAGAGAGAGAGAGAGAGAGAGAGAGTGTGTGTGTGTGTGTGTGTGTGTTGTGCCACTGCACTCCAGTCTGGGTGACAGAACGAGATTCCATCTCAAAACAAAATATGTGTTTTTTGTTTTTGTTTTGAGATGGAATCTCGTTCTGTCACCCAGACTGGAGTGTAATGGCACAATCTCAGCTCATCGCAACCTCTGCCTCTCGAGTTCAAGAGATCCTCCTGCCTCGGCCCCCCGGGTAGCTCAGGCGCATGTCACCACGCCTGGCTATTTTTTGTGTGTTTTTAGTAGAGACAGGGTTTCACCATGTTGGCCAGGCTGGTCTTCCAACTCCTGACCTCAAGTGGTCCTCTCGCCTCAGCCTCCCAAAGTGATGGGATTACAGGCATAAGCCACTGTGCCTGGCCAAATGTATATATTTTTGACTTACACAAATGGGATCTTACTATATGTGCCTAATATCTCCCAAGATATCACTAGTACAGAATAGTATCTGTGTGTATAACTCATCACTCTTTCTTTTCTGTTTTTTTTTTTTTGTTGTGTGTGTGTGTGTGTGTGTGTGTGTGTGTGTGCACTTTTTTGAGATGAGGTCTCGCTCTGTCAGCCAGGCTGGAGTGTAGTGGCACAAACACTGGTCACTGCAGCCTCAACCTCCTGGGCTCCAGCAATCCTCCTGCCTCAGCGTCCCATTTAGCTGGGACCATAGGTATGCACTACCATGCCTGGCTAATTTTTTATTGTATGTAGAGACAGGATCTCACTTTGCTGCCCAGGCTTGTCTCCAACTCTTAGGCTCAAGCACTCCTGCCACCATGGCCTCCCAAAATGTTGGGATTACAGGCATGAAACACCATTCTTTCTGCTGGCTGCATATATCCTGTTATATGGACATACCATAATTTAACCATCTAAGAATGATTTTCTATTTTTCTTTTTTGTTAACATAAACAGTATTACCATGAACATTTTTTTTTTAATATTGTACATATCTTTGTGCCTTTGTCTGAGTGATTCCTGGAGGTAGACTAGCTGATTGCCTTTTAGAAAACTTATGCTATTTTAGGCTTCTCCACAGTATATAAAAGTGCCTAGGTCCCCATATTTTTCTGAGGCAGACTCTCGCTCTGTCGCCAAGGCCGGAGTGCAGTGGTATGATCCTGTCTAACTGCAACCTCTGCCTCTCAGGTTCAAGTGATTCTCCCTGCCTCAGCCTCCCAAATAGCTGGGATTACAGGTGCCTGTCACCACACCCAGCTAATGTTTGTATTTTTAGTAGAGATGGGGTTTCACCATGTTGACCAAGCTGATCTTGAACTCCTGACCTCAGGTGATCTGCCGGCGTCAGCCTCCCAAAATGCTGGGATTACAGGTGTGAGTCACTGGGCCCAGCCCCCTTGCTCTTGCCAACACTAGGTGTTATCAAATCTTTTAATCTTTGCCAAGTTGATAAGTGAAAAAATGGCATTTTAATTTGCATTTCTTAAGTACAAAAGAGGGTTTGCTTTTTCATATTTTTACTTTTTTTCTTGGTCTTTTTCTTTGAAAAGGATAGGCCTGTTCCATCTTTGACTGCATTAGTACTAGACTATTTTGCTTTTAGTGATTTGTAATCATATTACTTAAGGAAATTGGGCTTTTGTCTTATGTTTTATATATATGTTAATAGAGTTTATACTTTTTTTTTCTGCCAATAAATACTTTAATGAGAACCAAGGCCTGTAACATGTATAGCAGTAACAACCCTGGCCTCTGCCTTCTGCTCTAGCCCAAGTCTCGGGCTAACCAATTACATTTAACCCACATTTGGAAAGCAGACCGTTTTCAGTGTTATCCATCAGTATCCATTGTCATAGAAGACACCAATCTGGGGCTAGAGTCTCAATGTTAACACTTTGTCTCAGGGAAAAGCCAACATGGTAACACAAACATATAAGTAACTTTGACCCATCCTACTCTTCTTACATCAGGAGGTCCTTAGGAGACCAGTGGTTTGGTAAACACTTACAACTTCGTCAAATATATTTGAACACGGGAAAGGGGAAAATGAATAGAAAGGCTGGCAGGGCTGGGCTCACGTAGAATTCAGTCCTTAGATTTGAAGCCTCTTGAGCTGCTTATATGTAATTTAAAAAATGATGTTCCAGGGTCCAAGCCAAAGCCAGTTTGGCCAAAATTCTTTATAGAGTGCAAAAAAATCCCTCATGTTTCCACATCTTTAAAATAACATCCAAAGTGCCCTTGTACAGATCCACATGTCCCATGATTGCCCTCTAGGTCATCATGTAAGTGCATACCACATCAACCAGATTAGAGGCAAGAGCCCAAGCCAAACCACATGTAAAGCTGGAAACAAAGTGAGTTAAAATTGTGTCTCCCATCATTCCTGACAATATTAAGTGCTTCTTAGTAATGTCATAGACTGGTAGCTCTACTCCCACAATGACTTGCTCAGCATGCTGAGCAAGTTGGAACCACACCCCTCCACAGACCCCAGTGCCTTCCTGTTGGTATATATCGATGAAGCTGCCAATCATGCTCCCTTGGAACAAGCTTCCTTGAGCCTGCATTAGAATCTTTAGAACATAGGTGAGATTGGCTGTTGTGGAAGATATCACTCCTGACACTACCCCACAGCTCATGTTAATTAAAAGAGTTTCATCTTCTAAACATTCTACAAATAATTGCTTCAAGTTTTGGTAAATCTCAATTTTTTCTTTTCTTTTTTTTTTTTTGAGACAGACTTTCACTCTTGTTACCCAGGCTGGAGTGCAATGGCGCGATCTCAGCTCACTGCAACCTCCACCTCCTGGGTTCAGGCAATTCTCCTGCCTCAGCCTCCTGAGTAGCTGGGATTAAAGGCACGCGCCACCATGCCCAGCTAATTTTTTGTATTTTTAGTAGAGACGGGGTTTCACCATGTTGACCAGGATGGTCTCGATCTCTTGACCTCATGATCCACCCACCTCGGCCTCCCAAAGTGCTGGGATTACAGGCTTGAGCCACCGCACCTGGCAAATCTCAATTTTAATGGTGCCATATTACACTTGTCTTAGCAAAGCAGGAGCAATTCCTGAATACAGAGCCAATACACCTTCCTCTTTCGGGTGTTTTACTGGAAACAAAGGGTGAAACATCCCTCTGTGTTTTGTTTCTTTTTGAAACGAACATCATTGCTTTGGCCTTGAACCTGAAATTGTGTTTTGGTAAGGTCCATAGGGGAGTTCCAAACTCAGCAATGATAGAGGCAAGGCCACCAAATACAAAGAGTTTCCAATTCACACCAGACATCTCATGGCTTACAGTGGTACTTTCCTGCTGCTGTTCAGGCTCATCGGACGACTAGGAAACTGAGGCTTCCACAGTCAGAAATGCCACCGCAGCACCAACCCAGAAGCGTTGAAACCCTGTAGTTTATAATTTTACTGTAGTTTTGTTGTTGTTGTTGTTGTTATTTTTCAGACACTTGAGTTTTAAAAGCAAGCCCTTTGTTGCCCTTGAATTGATTAACATTCTGCAAAGAGCAAATCAGACCATTCCAAAGGAGCTTGTATCAATGGCTGAGAGGTTTAAGGCACATCAACAGAAATTCTCAGAGAAATGGAAAGAAAAATGGAAAGACCTCAAGGAAGGCCCAAGAAGTTTCATTAATGTCTTCTGTACTATTATGGTAGATAATTCAAGATTTTTTTTAGAAATATAATAAGACCAGAAGTATTGGGCATACAGGCAGTGTGAAGAGAACAGACTGATTCTTAAAATAATAGTGTTTGAAAATGTAGAATTCAGTATTTTATACTTTAACAAAAGCAGAAGTATTTAAAAACAAGTCCTTTATAGCAATATAAGATTATTTTTTAAAAATTAAAAAATAGGCCGGATGCGGTGGCTCAAGCCTGTAATCCCAGCACTTTGGGAGGCCAAGGCGGGTGGATCACGAGGTCAAGAGATCGAGACCATCCTGGTCAACATGGTGAAACCCCGTCTCTACTAAAAATACAAAAAATTAGCTGGGCATGGTGGTGCGTGCCTGTAATCCCAGCTACTCAGGAGGCTGAGGCAGGAGAACTGCCTGAACCCAGGAGGCGGAGGTTGCGGTGAGCCAAGATCACGCCATTGCACTCCAGCCTGGGTAACAAGAGTGAAAGTCCGTCTAAAAAAAAAAAAAATTAAAAATTAAAAAATAGAAGTGAGCCCTTAGAGCATTAGTGTGCTACCCAAAGTATCTAACATGCTTCTGAGTATTTGATTTAATTAAGCAAATGTTTACTGAGCAACTACATTGTGGTATTAGGTACAGTGCTAAGCTCTAAGGTATTTGCTCAAATTATTTTAAATGTTGGATTCTCACAGATGTTTAAACAGGTAAAATCCAAGATCAACATATTCTTCCATTGCTTCGGTTAAGGAGATTTTCATCATTTTAAATTCCTTTAGAGGTAATTTTATTAATTGGGTAAATTTAGAACACAACCTTTTTAGATCTCAGTGAAAATGTGGCAACTTTGAATTTATCTTTTGTGTTGGAGTTATTAGACCATTGTTTAGAGGAAATATAGCATTGTGGTTCCAGATAAGGTTCTGGGTTTTGAACTCTGGCCCTACCACTGGATTGGGCAAGCCACTTATCTCTGTTTGCCTGTTATATATCATCTTTGAAAGGGGAATAATGATAGTATATGTTTCAGATTTTTTCTGAGGATAAAAATCAGATAATCAGTGGTAAAGTACTTCCTAGCATGAGGTAAAGGCTCAGTACGTATTATTCAAATGATTGTTAATTGAATTAATGTAATAACTAAAAATCCTTTTTTTTCCCAGACATTCAGAAATATATTCCATGCTATCAGCTTTTTAGGTAAGTACTGGTGCTAGTAAGAGTAAGTAAATGATCTATTGTGTAAATTACTTACTCTCTGCAGGTGAAATAGTTTTTAAAACTAACAGATTATCTTAATTATCAGCTATGCGTGGTGGTACGGATTAGACTGGAAAGGTTTTTTAAAATAGCTGAAAAATCACTTGTGCATTGTCAACCCTAGTAGTTCTTCTCTGTATTTATATTACTTTAAGCTGATCTTTATTACCTTTCCCAGGTACCAGTTTACCTAGAGGATTGCTTTTCCTTCACACACCCAGTCACCTCATTGCATATTATAAATTCAGTGAGGTGTTCTTGTACATTATCAATAGCAGCCCTTTTTTCTACCCTTTTATTCCAGCATATTTTAGCAACTTGTTCCTCACTTGTTGTATTTTTTAGTGTTATCTTTTGTCTGTTGGCTGGTTATGGTCTTTGTTTTTCTTTTTCAGACAGGTTCTCTGTCACCCAGGCTGGAGTACAGTGTTGTAAACACAGCTCACTGCAGCCTTGACCTTCTGGGCTCAGGTGACCCTCCCCACTTCAGCCTCTTAAGTAGCTGGGACCACAAGCATCAACCACCACACCCAGCTAATTTTTGTATTTTGGTAGAGACAGGGTTTTGCCATGTTGCCCAGGCTGGTCTCAAACTCCTGCGCTCAAGCCATCCTCCTTCCTTGGCCTCCCAAAGTGCTGGGATTACAGGTGTAAGCCACTGCATTCAGCTGGTTATGTTCTTTAACCCATTTCCTATTGCTTTTCTAGGGTGAAAACTTGCACTCAGTCCTACAGATAGTCATAGTACTGTTAGCTATAATGCATTGTATATTTTTTAGCTTTTTATTGAGTATAACAGACACATAGAAAAGTACACGAATGAATTTCACAAAGCAAACACATGTAATCATGTAACCATAGCATGGTATAGTTTTAATGAAATGGTTTTATGATTTAAATGGATCACACAAGAAAAATCAGCACAAGCAGCCTGGGCAACATGATGAAATACTGTCTCCACTAAAATTACAAAAGTTAGCCAGGAATGGTGGTGGCATGCATCTGTAGTCCCAGCTACTAGGAAAGCTGAGACAGGAGGATCACTTGAGCCCAGGAGACAGAGGCTACAGTGAGGTGAGGTCATGGCACTGCACTCCAGTCTGGGTGACAGAGCAAGACCCTGACTCCAAAAAAAAAAGAAAAGAAAAATCAGTGTAACTGTCTTACAGACTATCTACTGTGCACATCTTTGAAGTTGTATAAGAATTACAGTGGAACATATGGTTAAAGTGAGAAATAACTGTAGGAAATCGCAGAAAAAAGGAGCTTAGTATGGTCTTAAACTGCTATGCCAGGAAAAGGTACAGCTTCTATACTGCCATATGTGTAATGGATATACGAAAATATTTGTTAGATGACTGAGGAATTCTTAGTGGATACTCATAAAAAGGACTTTATTGAAGGATCCTGTGGACCAGCAAAAGAGTTAAAGGAAGAGTGAAAAGTGATTATCTTTTTCAACCACATTAATGATTAGACCAACTTAGTAGAGGCTAAGACCTGAAGAAACCATCTAAGTGATGAGAAACCAGTGCCTGAGCCTTTTAGCTCTTCTTACATGGTTGGGCGGGGTGGGGGCGCACACGAGGTGGGGACGGCATTAGGAGAGACATGTGAAATACCTCTCATTCAGAAAATAACTACATACTTCATTAAACAACATAAGAATAGGCCTGAAAAGTTCATGATTTAACCAAGGCCACAGATCTAGTTAATGGTAGAACACAAACTAGAAAAATAAGGATTTCTTGAGCTCTAATCCATCATCATACTATGCAGTTTCTTCCTCTTCTGGCTCTAATACAGGGGTTGCTAAAATAGAGCCTCATGACATGTTTTTATATGGCCCTGGATCTAAGACTGTTCACTATATTTTTAAGGGTTGTAAAACAAAGAGGAAAGATATGCAGTAGAGACTGGATATGGCTGTCAAAGCCTGAAATATTTTCTATACAGTCCTTCACAAAATGTTTGTTAACCCTGTGCTAAATAAATTGTGTATCAAACTTTTCCACTGAAATACACTGATTTGGTTACCTCAGAATTCTGGAGGAAGTACCGGCCTACTGAAACTAGGTGTACATATTTTTTTTTTTCTTTTTTTTTTTTCAGACAAGGCCTCACTCTATCAGCCAGGCTGGAGTGCAGTGGTGTGATCTCAGTTCACTGCAATCTCCCAACTCCCATGTTCCAGCAGTTCTCCCACCTCAGCCTCATGAGTTAGCTGGGACTACAGCCATGCACTACCATGCCTGGATAATTTTTTTTTTTTTTTTTTTTTTTTTGGTATTTAGAGATAGGGTTTCACCATGCTGGCCAGGCTGGTCTCAAACCCCTGACCTCAAGTGATCCACCCACCTCAGCCTCCCAAAGTGCTGGGATTACAGGCGTGAGTCACTGTGCCCAGCTTCTGAAACTTAAAGTCGGTTTTTTTGTTTGTTTGTTTTTTGGTTTGTTTTTTTTTTTGAGACGGAGTTTCACTCTTGTTACCCAGGCTGGAGTGCAATGGCGCGATCTCGGCTCACCGCAACCTCCGCCTCCTGGGTTCAGGCAATTCTCCTGCCTCAGCCTCCTGAGTAGCTGGGATTATAGGCACGCGCCACCATGCCCAGCTAATTTTTTGTATTTTTAGTAGAGACGGGGTTTCACCATGTTGACCAGGTTGGTCTCGATCTCTCGACCTTGTGATCCACCCGCCTCGGCCTCCCAAAGTGCTGGGATTACAGGTTTGAGCCACCGCGCCCGGCCTTAAAGTCGGTTTTTTAAAACTTATGCAAGTGGGTCATAGTGGCTCATGCCTATAGTTCCAGCACTTTGGGAGGCCAAGGTATGGGTGGATCACTTGAGCTCAGGGAGTTGGAGACCAGCCTGGGTAACATGGCAAAACTCCCTCTACAAAAAATACAGAAAGCTAGCTGGGCATGGTGACATGCCTGTAGTCCCAGTTAGTAGGGAAAGTGAGGTGAAAGGATTGCTTGAGGGCAGAGGTCAAGGCTTCAGTGAGCCCAGATCACACCACTGCACTCCAGCCCAGATGAAAGAGCGTGAGACCCTGTCCCAAAAACAATTAGGCAATTTGACATGAATTCTACATATCAGTTTCTGCATAAAATGCCACCCTCTTCATGTTCTCCCCAGAAACTTCACATAAACTTAGTGCTTCCACAGATGATGTACACTGTTATCCTATTGTTTCTTTTTTTTTTTAACCTGATATGTAGCTATATCCTATTGTTAATCTTACCCTAATATACTGCTTTATTCTCTGATTTGAGGAACTCAGAAGTGGACTATTCTAGGAAAATATAGGAATAAATTCTTGTATTTAGAGAATTTCTTATATTTTCACATTGGAACTGTAAATAGACAAAATATTGTAAATATAAATAGACAACACAGTCTGCTCTGTTGCCCAGGCTGGAGTGCAGTCGTGTCATCTCATGTCACTACAAACTCTGCCTCCCAGGCTCAAGTGATCCTCCCACCTCCCTCTCCCTAGAAACTGGGATTACAGGCACACACCACCACCCCCTAGGTAATTTTTGTATTTTTTTGTAGATGAGGTTTTGCTACGTTGCCCAGGATAGTCTCAAATTTCTGGGCTGACGCCATCCACCTGCCTCAGCCTCCCGAAGTGATGAGCCACCATGCCCTGCCAAAAATTATAAAGCATTTTGCGTAACATATTTCACCATCATAGAAAATATTGTTGATCTTAATGAATGGTAAAAAGAAGAAAATATTATTTGCAGTCTCTGTTATTGGAAAGGAAAGAAAGTTGGAAGTAGAATCTTTTTTATGTATTTATTTATTTTATTTTTAGAGATGGGTTTTCACCATGTTGGTCAGGATGGTCTCGAACTCCTGACCTTGTGATCTGCCTGCCTTGGCCTCCCAAAATGCTGGGGTTATAGCCATGAGCCTCCGCGCCTGGCCTGGAAATAGAATCTTTTAGAATTGTCTTTTGATTCTTCCTACGTCTTGGATATTCCAACTCCTGAGCAAAGACTAGTATTCTAAAGCAAAACCTATTTTCTTCCCCCACCTCAAAAAGTCCAGCCACCTCCCAAAATACATAGCTTTTGTAACTAGCAGTGAATAAATCGCCCTTTTGTTATTGTGCTTTATTACGGGTTATACATTCTTTTGTATGTATCAATGTTGTAAAAAATGTAAATGAGTAAAATGATTGAATTGTGAACTGGCTATGTGAACTTACATTTTAATGCCCGTGTTTCATGGATAGTTTATTGTTTTTGGTTCAAAAAAAATGATCCTCCAAATTTGTCTCTTAAGTTATTCCCTTTTCCTTTTCATTGCTTTATGGACTATGTTTCTACCACTTCAAGTCAATTTGAGAACTTTCTCTACTATTTATTTTAGGACTTCATCCAACAGCCAAATAGATATATGAACTTTGGATAGTTTGGGTTAGGAATAACTAAAATCTAAAATACTAATAACATTCTTTATATTTTTAGTATGTTCTGAAATACCTTTAATTTTGGCTTTTACAGCTTTTATAATTCTTCAGGTGAAATAAATGAGCAAGCACTGAAGAAAATATTATCAAATGTCAAAAAGGTATTCTCTGTCTTCCTTTTTTGGTGTTCTCTGCATTATTTTTGGTTCTTAAAAACACAGAGCACTTTGTTACAATTTTTAAGTGGTGTTTGACATCATGGTATCCTGTAAAGTAGGTAAGAAAAGGTTTGTTCTTCCTAGAAATTCAAAGGAGTTGCTCTGAAAATAAAACTAGTAATTAAAAATGTTAATTTTGTTCTCTTGACTAGTATATTAACATTAAAAATGTTAATTTTGTTCTCTTGACTAGTATATTAACATTGATCTCTTTCTCTTATATTTCCACCATACCCCTTCCAGCTATCATTTATTCCATGACCTAATCAGTTTGTTATTTTACTTAGCTGCAGTTTTTGTTTTTTTTGTTTGTTTTTTTGAGACAGAGTCACACTCTTGTCACCCAAGCTGGAGTGCAGTGGCGTGATCTCACCTCTACCTCCCAGGTTCAAGCAGTTCTCCTGCTTCAGCCTCCCGAGTAGCTGGGATTACAGTTGCCCGCCACCACGCCTGACTCATTTTTGTGTTTTTAGTAGAGATGGGGTTTCACCATGTTGTCCAGGCTGATCTCGAACTCCTGACCTCAGGTAATCTGCCTGTTTCGGCCTCCCAAAGTACTGGGATTACAGGTATGAGCCACCATGTCCAGCCTCAGTTATTATTTTTGATAGATACTGCAGGGATGTTTCCTATATAGCCTTGAATTTGAATCCTCTGCAACATAACTTCACGTTTGGTTAAAGTTGTTGAATAATCAAAATGGATTTTTTCCCCAAACACAAAATTTTTTCAAGGCATTACTTTTTCTCTGAAAACTCTCTGATTTGAAAATAAAAATAGAGGCCAGGCACGGTGGCTCAGGCCTGTAATCCCAGCACTTTGGGAGGCTGAGGCAGGCAGATCACCTGAGGTTGGGAGTTCGAGACCTGCCTGACCAACATGGAGAGAAACCCCATCTCTACTAAAAATACAAAATTAGCCAGGTGTGGTGGTACATGCCTGTAATCTCAGCTACTTGGGAGGCTGAGGCAGGAGAATCGCTTGAACCTGGGAGGTGGAGGTTGCAGTGAGCTGAGATCGTGCCATTGCACTCCAGCCTGGGCAACAAGAGCGAAATTCTGTCTCAAAACAAAAAGAAAAGAAAAATAGATTAATTGAAAGATGTTTCTTTCAAAAAACATGTTTAGCTGAAAATGCTTGGTTTTCTTTTTCCCAATTATTATTTGAATATTTAAAAATATACCTGTAAAAATGCCTTGTTTTTAAAAACCAACTTTAATTTCCTCAATTTCAATGTGCAAATATAAAATGTAGTCGCTGAAACTCACAGATCTGTAAGCAAAGCGGTTGCTTTTCTCTTTGTCTTAAGTAAAGGAGAATTATTTTCTGACTTAAAGGTTTAGTAATATTAACACATTTGCTTAGTATGTTGTAGTTTACAAAACCCTTTCAAGGATCTTAATCTTAAAACCTACTTTGTCGGGTAGGTGATATCATTCCCATATAAATTTTAGGTAAAAGCTGTAGGGTTCAGCTTAACTTATTTAACAAACCAAATATCAATACAGGCAATCAATTTGTTTTCAGGGAGTGATTGCCTTTTAAGTGAGTCAATGGCATTGATACTTCTTTCATTTAAATTTTGACTAAAGATTAAGACTGCAAGATAGCAAATGCTGTAAAAGAAACTAAAGGAAGTCAAGAATTTAATTCTTCCTTTTAATCTATATTGATCAAAATTATAGCCTTTTAAATGAATGAAAAGTAATTTGTGTTTATTTTACAAAAGTAAAGCATATGATAAAAGTGTATTCTTTGTTTATATATGCCCCAAATCTAAATATTAAGCCATTTTAAGGTTGTTTAATTATAATAGTAAGACATATAATTGTAACTATTAAGATGTATATCCTTTTTTTTCTATATTTCAGAATGTGGTAGGTTGGTACAAATTCCGTCGTCATTCAGATCAGATCATGGCTTTTAGAGAGAGGCTGCTTCACAAAAACTTGCAGGAGCATTTTTCTAACCAAGACCTTGTTTTTCTGCTATTAACACCAAGTATAATAACAGAAAGCTGCTCTACTCATCGACTGGAACATGCCTTATATAAACCTCAAAAAGGGTAAATATTGGCCAGTCACTGGCTGTTAAACTATTAGAAAAATATACCTACTATTTCGTATTTTTTGCCACTTAGAAAGTGTTTTCATATATTGTCACATCAGATTGTCACAATAACCCTCAGAAGTAGATCTTGCCATCTGTTAATTATAGGTAGGAAAATAAAAGTCAGATAAGGAAATTAGGAGCCCAGTGTGGAATGATGACTTGTATTCTAGCACTGAAGGGGATTTGCTCTTATTTACTATTTAATGTGGAAAAAAATTGTTTTATATTGATAAAGGATATAATTTAGAATTTAAGCCTAGATACTTGAGCAGCTTTTCTGTAACTGAGCAAAGAAACAAAGTAGTTCTTGATGGTACACTGAAATGAGTCTAACCAGGAACCCCCCACAGGTTGTATATAGGAAACTATATTTTCATGGAATGTGAGAATTAAGTTAAAAGAGTACCAACTAAGAATAATTTTATTGTTCATGGAAGATAGGGTAAATCTCAACATTAATACTGCCTTATTTATACATGTACTAATCAAAGGAGCCATTAAGCTGTTTTTCCACACCATTGTACTAAGCACATTTCACAGCTTTACATGCCATCTGGGCCCAGTGTGGTGATCCATGCCTGTAATCCCAACACTTTGGGAGGCCAAGGTAAGAGGATCACTGGGCAACATAAAGAGACCTCATTGCTATAAAAAACTTAAAAATTAACCGAGTATGGTGATGGGCACCTGTAGTCCCAGCCTCCTAGGAGGCTGAGGCAAGAGGAATGCTTGAGCCCAGGAAGTTGAAGCTGCATTGAGCTGTGATCACACTACTGCACTGCAGCCTGGGCAACAGAGTGAGACCCTGTCTCAAAAAACAAACAAATAAAAACCAGTTGTCTCAAGTCAGTAAATTATATTTTGGATAAATAGTAAAGAATGGGTTGGGGAGTGTGTTTTTTTAATTTTGCAAGGGACAAGTAGTCTATTCTAGCAGTTAGACACTAATCTTTCTCTGCATTCTAAATTTATACTCTAAAGTTTTATTTTGTCAGCCTTTTTCACAGGATACCTTTAGTGGTTGCCAATCTGGGCATGTCTGAACAACTAGGTTATAAAACTGTATCAGGTTCCTGTATGTCCACCGGTTTTAGCCGAGCAGTACAAACACACAGGTAAGATTCAACTGCTTTCTCACAAAACTTATATTCATCTTTGAAATTAATTTTCTTATTTCTTAAACAACAGCAGAATAAAAATGAAAGGGAAAACTAATTCATTACTCAAGTAAACTAAGATGTTTTTACCTTCCCCTATTCCTGTTAATACTTGTCTACTTACAAGATACAAAAAAGGTTGTGGTTAGTCTAGGCCTGGTGGCCCACACCTGCCGCTGAGGCAGAAGGATCACTTGAGCTTAGGAGTTGGAGACCAGCCTGGGCAACAGAGCAAAATCCCATCTCTACAAAGAAATTAAGAAAAAAAAAAAAGTAGTGGGAGGAACTTGTTGCATGTCCTGTAAAGTTTAACGTATCTGTTCTATATTAGAATAAGTGTATAGACTAAAAATTATAATTTTCTAAGGCAGTGGTTCAGATTAAAGGTGTGAAATCAGATATTTGTAAAAATCAGACTTTAGCCAAGACTCAGTCACACTATAGGCTGCTTAGATACAACTTTTTTTGTGGCCATTAAGGAAGTAATGTCAAAAACAGCAACATTGGTCCTACAAGATACCTATTAGAGTGTAAACTTTATGAGAATAAGGACCTTGTTACTGGATGGAAAGTCTTGATTGTTGTCAAAAAAAAAAAAAAGAGTGGGGAAGAAAGAATAAGGACTTAGGTTTTACTTACTTTTGTGTCCCCACAGTGCTAGCAGTATAAAAGCTGAATACCATATTTCATTGATCCTCAGATGCACATTTTTCATATTTATCTCTGAAATTCGGATGTCTTACAAATCATGCCTTCTTAGAATTACTTTTTTCTTTCATGGATCATAAAATAATGATGCCTCTTTCAATTAACAGTAACTTAAATTCAGTAAAATATTTTTAAAAATTGACTCTGGTTCCCATTGCCAATAAAGAGACTTTTTTTTCTTTCTTCAGTTTTTGTTTTTGTTTTTTTTTTTTTTAAGATGGGGTTTCACCATGTTGGCCAGGCTGGTCTTGAACTCCTGACCTCAGGTGATTCACCCCCACCCCCCACCCAACCTTGGCCTCCCAAAGTGCTAGGATTACAGACGTGAGCCACCACACCTGGCCTCTTCCTTCAATTTTTATCTATTTTTATGCAATCTTCCTCCATCTTCACCTTTTTGGGATACCTGGCAATAGTACTTAGGAGGCTAAAAAATTTGCTAATGTGAAGATCAATGAAGTAGGTTTTGTGGTTGGTTTTTCTGTATACACAGAGATGACAAAATTATGGTTCCTACAAAACCACTAAAAAGAATCTTCCATTTGCTCCTTGACTACGAATAAGTTTTTCACCTTATCATTAAAATGAGTTTTGTGTATTTGCCTGAGGAAGTGGTAATTTTTTTACAGCTCTAAATTTTTTGAAGAAGATGGATCCTTGAAGGAGGTACATAAGATAAACGAAATGTATGCTTCATTACAAGAGGAATTAAAGGTAAGTTAACATATCAAACACTTCAGCCACTTCTAGATAGAGTTCATATCAAATTAATGACTTACATTTTTTAGGGATAACCTGACATCTTGATTAGATTAATACAGTTCTGAGTTACTTAATGAGGGGTATACCTTCTGAGAAATGTTATTAGGCAATTTCATCATTGTACAAATGTCATATACTTACATAAACCTATATAGTGTATGTATTTTTACTTATAGTTTCACATGTCCCCAAGTCATTACTGAATATCAGTCATTTACCCTATTTGATCTGTAATGCCAATATCAAGTGCTATATATCAGCTTTCTGTATGTGCTCCATTATAATCTTGTGACCCCATCATAGATGCTGTCCCTTGTTCAACAAGATGTTATTTCTTTTTTTTTTTTTTTTGAGACGGAGTTTCGCTCTTGTTACCCAGGCTGGAGTGCAATGGCGCGATCTCGGCTTACTGCAACCTCCGCCTCCTGGATTCAGGCAATTCTCCTGCCTCAGCCTCCTGAGTAGCTGGGATTACAGGCATGTGCCACCATGCCCAGCTAATTTTTTTGTATTTTTAGTAGAGATGGGGTTTCACCATGTTGACAAGGATGGTCTTGATCTCTTGACCTCTTGATCCACCCGCCTCAGCCTCCCAAAGTGCTGGGATTACAGGCTTGAGCCACCGTGCCCGGCCGAGATGTTATTTCTTTAGCTTCACTGACTGAGATATATTTCTTTAGCTGTGTAACAAAGATTGCAATCTCTGGCTTACAACAACCATGGTTTGGTCTTGCTAATATTGTATCTTGGCTGTAGCTCTATTCCTTTTCTGAATGTCATCTTCATCCAAGATCCAGGCTAAAGGAGCAGCCCTTATTTGGGATATGTTCTCATGGCATAAGGCAAAGAGTAAGAAAGCTAGTGGAAATTCAAAACAGCTCTTAAAACTTTGCTTAAAAAAGCCATGTCACTTCCACTCACATTTCATTGGACTGAACACATCACATAGTAATAGGCAGGGATATGTAATCCTTCTTACACAATAGAGGGAAGTATACTTGGGAACAACACAACAATGTTAGGTTCTATTTCATGAATCAGTTCAGGTCCTTTGAGAACTAGATGTCAAGATGGGGATTATAAGTGCAGAAGATTTATTGGGCCTGAGAAGGATAAAGAGGAAGCAAAAAGAGGCAGGAAGAGCCTTTAGAAAACACTGCAAGTCTGACCCCTGAGAAAGGAGAGGGGGATCAGAGGACACTGGTTAGGAAGAGTCTCAGACTGCACTGCCATTTTAAGAAAGTTCTACTAGGCTGATGGGGAGTCCTTGAGCAAAGTTGCCCCAAAATTGTTCTGTAGGCATGGACATGCACTAATACCTGCACTGTGCTCAGTCATTGGCTAGGAACAGCCCAGAGTGGCTTAAGAGCAAACACAGTGGTACATCCAAAGCTGGGGCTAAGTCAGCTATGCTTCCCCCAGTTGGAGATCTAAGGAGTATATTTCCATGGCTACCATACCATACTCATCAGTAGAGCACACTAACAGAAAAGCAGTTGAAACATTTTGATTCATATTATACTATTTGTCCATATGAATGATACAGGAATTTTAGATGGTAGAAACAGAGCGAGAGTCAGTCTCAAAATAAAAAAAAAAAAAACCAACTTGGGTTAAAATAGAGAATGTAGAGGTATATCATAGGAACTGTAGACAGAAAGCAGCTGAACTTTAGTAAGGAATTGGAACCAGGAGCTAGAATGCCAATAGAACTTTCTGTTTCTGCACATTGCTATCCTTCCAGACCTTTTTGTTTCTTCATCCACTTGCAGGGCAGAGAACAGCCAGCCCACAGTTCCTGCATTTAGATCTCTTTTAGAACATAGGATTTTCCAGTTGGCTATGTAATACCTTCAAATTGCCAGGCAAGAATCTAATTGTTTCTACTTGGGTCAGCTAGGGTGAAAGGTGGGTACAGAGGTTACTGGCAAACTGTTATGTCAGGGCAAAAATGTTCATAAAAAGTAGGCTTGGCAGACATCCTAAAAAGTCTCTACTAAAACAGGCAAAACAACTATTACCCTACAATTGGAAATAAGTTTTGTGTTTTTTATTTAATATTCTCCCCTTTCCCAGTTGTTTCATGTTATACTAAGAAACATCATCTTATATAGATTTTTGTTGTTACTAAGATACATTCCCAAATGGAATTATGGGGTCAAAGATTATTGGTCTTGATACTTTTTTAAATTTTTTGAGACAGAGTCTTGCAGGCTGGAGTGCAATGGCATGATCTCAGCTCACTGCAACCTTCGCCTCCTGGGCTCCTGCCTCAGCCTCCCGAGCAGCTGGGACTACAGGCACACACCTCCATACCCGGCTAATTTTTTGTATTTTAACAGCGACGGGGTTTCGCCACGTTGCCCAGGCTAGTCTCAAACTCCTGAGCTCAGGTGATGCACCCATCTCAACTTCCCAAAGTGCTAGGATTACAGGCATGAGCCACCACACTTGGGCCAGTATTCATACTTTTAAAACTAAAGACAGGCAGAACTGGTCTGCTTTTCAAAAGCAGTTTCTCTTACAGGAAAAAAATCTTCAATAGTATCCCTTCATAATAGTAAGATACAGTCACTTTGTTTTTACTTACTGTTTCTTAGTGTTAAATGTATGTATCTGTATTTTTTGTTCCAAAGTAAGTTAAATTTTTTCCTTTATTTTTGAGATGAGGTCTCACTGTATCACCCAGGCTAGAGTGCAGTGGCGCAGTTTCGGCTCACTGCAACCTCCGCCTGCTGGGCTCAGGCAGTTCACGTCTCAGCCTCCTGAGTGTCTGGGACTACAGTCATGCATCACCACACCTGAATAATTTTTTATATTTTTAGTAGAGATGGGGTTTTACCATGTTGCCCAGGCTGGTCTTGAACTCCTGAGCTAAGGCAATCTGCCTACCTCAGCCTCCCAAAGTGCTAAGATTACAGGTGTGAGACATCATGCCTGGCCCATGAGTTAATATTTCAGTTCATTTCTGTGTATTTTCAGCGAAGTAACTGGCATGATAAAAACTGTATAAATGAGAAGTTACTACATCTGAAAAAGCATTTTATAACCTATAAGGCTTGTTTATAACCTACGAGTGCTTGTTACTGAGGTCCTCCAGAAAATAAAATTTATATAAAAGCAAAGTTTTTGGCATTATATACCGCCAATGATTTTATATTATTTGTGAATCTAGATCGTATTAGTTCAGAGCTTGAAATCTTATTTATGCTCTTAAATTATTTTATTTTGCAGAGTATATGCAAAAAAGTGGAAGACAGTGAACAAGCAGTAGATAAACTAGTAAAGGATGTAAATAGATTAAAACAAGAAATTGAAAAAAGGAGACGAGCACAGATTCAGGCAGCACGTAAGTAAAAAATTAACACATCTCAGCCTGGCTCAGTGGCTATAATCCCAGAGGCCAAGGTCAGTGGATCACTTAAGGTGAGGAGTTAAAGACTAGCCTGGCCAACCTGGTGAAACCCCATCTCTACTAAAAATGCAAAAATTAGCCAGGCATGGTGGCCCGAGTCTGTAATTCCAGTTACTCAGAAAGCTGAGGTGGCAGAATCCCTTGAACCCGGGAGGCGGAGGTTGCAGTGAGCCAAGATCGTGCCACTGCACTCTAACCTGGGCGACAGAGCCAGACTTATTAAAAAAAAAAAAAAATTAACACATCTCTCCTTTCTGTGCTTTTTATTATTATTATTTTTTTTTTTTGAGATGGAGCCTCCCTCTGTCACCCAGGTTGGAGTGCAGTGGTATGATCTCAGCTCACTGCAACCTCTGCCTCCTGGGTTTGAGCAATTTTCCTGCCTCAGCCTCCCAAAAAGCTGGGATTACGGGTGCCCACCACCATGCCCACCCATTTTTTGTATTTTCAATAGAGACAGGGTTTCACCATGTTAGCCAGGCTGGTATTGAACTCCTAACTTAAAGTAATCCACCCACCTCAGCCTCCCAAAGTGCCGGGATTATAGGCATGAGCGACTGCACTCGGCCCTTTCTTTGCTTTTAAAGAACATAATACTATAGTAGCTATATTGCTGACATGAAATAACACAACTTTAATTTTATCTTAGAATACTGTGGTGTATAAATTAGAATTTAAAATTATGTATGTTATTATCACTTTAGAGAATTTGATACAACTGTTAGTAAATCCTTTTGACTTAATTTTACTTACAAATAGTTAATTTTAAGCTTCGTAGAAGAAATGTTGTATGTTGAACTATTATTCTATTTTGTTTAGGAGAGAAGAACATCCAAAAAGACCCTCAGGAGAACATTTTTCTTTGTCAAGCATTGCGGACCTTTTTTCCAGATTCTGAATTTCTTCATTCATGTGTTATGTCTTTAAAAAATAGACATGTTTCTAAAAGTAGCTGTAACAACCACCACCATCTTGATGTAGCAGACAATCTGACCTTAATGGTAGAACACACAGACATTCCTGAAGCTAGTCCAGCTAGTACACCACAAATGATTAAGCATAAAGCCTCAGACTTAGATGACAGATGGCAATTCAAGAGATCACGGCTGTTAGATACACGAGACAAGCCATCTAAAACAGATAGTGACGGTAATAACCAAGAAAAAGCATCGAAAATGAGCAGCCCAGAAACAGATGAAGAGATTGAAAAGATGAAGGGTTTTGATGAATATTCACGGTCTCCTACATTTTGATCCTTTTAACCTTAAAAGCGTTTTTTTGTTTTTGTTTTTTTTTTTTAATTTGGCTGATGTGTAAAGCCAAACTTTTCTATTTTTACTATGGTGGAGCTACTTGCAGTAATCCAGATTTCATTTGTTTTCACTATGTTCACCTGTTTGCAGTAATATACAGCTAAGTCTTAGTGCATTTATTTTACAAAGTACTTTTTCAAACATCAGATGCTTTTATTTCCAAACCTTTTTTCACCTTTCACTAAGTTGTTGAGGGAAAGGCTTACACAGACACATTCTTTAGAATTGGAAAAGTAAGACCAGGCACAGTGGTTCACACCTGTAATCCCAACACTGAGGGAAGACAAGGCAGGAAGATTGATTGAGGCCAGGAGTTAGAGACCAGCCTGGGTAATGTACTGACCCTCTCTGTTAAAAAAGAAAAATATTGGAAAAGCAAGAATAGCCTTATTTTCACAATTTGGAAAGAAATTTATATGAAAATTTAAGTCATTAAAATTCTTAAGTGGTAATTTTTTATAAGCACATTATGGCTAGAGTTGCCAGATAAAATGCTGGATACCACGCAATAAATTTGCAAAATGTGATCTAAAATTTAAATTTGTCCTACATTTGTACTTGCTAAATTTGGCAGCCTTAATTATTACACAACTATAACACAACACAAACAGTAATCTCTCCTCTAGTTTAGAGTCCTCTGCATGAAATTTAGCAAATCCATAATTTTGAGTTCAGTATAAGCCTGGTAATCCAGTGTGTTTGGGATAGGCCAGGGAACTCAGAACTGATACCTATATACATAGATGTCTATCACATTCAATGTCTGTTAGGCCTAAATCATCTCTTTATGTAAAAGACACTACTGGTTTGAGGATAGACTTATCTAGGAATATTTTGTCCTCCTTTGACAGCACCACTATCTGTCCCAATGTAACATTTCTACAAAGGGAAGATCGCTTAACCAGGCATACTTAGATTTGCTAGTTCGAATATCATTCTGAGCAGTTTTAACTCCATTCAGCTGAACAGTATGTTTTTCTATGAGCTACTTGGGGACCAGATATAAATGACAATCACACAGAACCACTTTTATTCAACATGTAAAATGTGATGAGTGTTAACATTTTAAATAAGTGATGTGCTTAATGGACACTGGTATGAAGGGGCAGTGTCATTCCTTACCTCACTACTGAAACACTTTTCTATCCAAAGGTTGGTTTGAGTCAGTATTGGCATCATACAACCATGTATTGTAAGGTAAGTTTATTGGTGGTAACGTGATAGAATTTATTCCCGATATCTGATATTGCAAACTTTAGGGTCCTTGAGATATGCAGGATCCTTGTATGTAACTGGCATAAACCCTGTAAAGAGATAAGTAAAGTTCTTGACAAAACATAATGAGCAAACTTTCAGCTAACTCAATTCAGTTGTTGAGGTGCTCTTTCTTACCCAATACTTGAGCTCTCTTAATTGCTTTTGTGATTTCTTTCTGTTTCTTCCCACAAAGACCTGTAAAATAAAAAATAATCTTATTCATAAAAAGTGTCAGTATTTAAAGTTCACCTTTTTTTTTTTTTTTTTTTTTTGAGACAGAGTCTTGCTCTGTCACCCATGCTGGAGTACAGTGGCATGATCTTGGCTCACTGCAACCTCCACCACCCAGGCTCAAGCAATTTTCCTGCCTCAGCCTCCTTAGTAACTGGGATTATGGGCATGTGCCACCAGGCCCAGCTAATTTTTTGTATTTTTAGTAGAGATGGGGTTTCACCATATTGGCCAGACTGGTCTTAAACTCCTTACCTCAGGTGATCCACCCACCTTGACCTCTCAGAGTGCTGGGATTACAGGTGTGAGCCACAGTGCCTGGCCTCACACCAATTTTTAAAGTCAAGGATTGGTAAATCGTTTTCGTCAAGGGCCAGAATAATAATAATGCAGATTTTGTGGGCCGTACAGTCTCTATCACCATCACTCAACTCTACTGTTATAGCACAAAAACAACCATATGGCACTACGTAAACAAAACTACAAAAACAAGTAGGGTTGGGTGCAGTGGCTCATGCCTATAATCCCAGCGCTTTGGGAGGCCAAGGCAGGCAGATCACCTGGGGTCAGGAGTTCAACATCAGCCTGGCCAATATGGAAAAATGCTGTCTCTACTGAAAATAAAAAATTAGCCAGGCACCTGTAATCCCAGCTATTCAGGAGGCTGGGGCATGAGAATCGCTTGAACCCAGGAGGCAGAGGTTGCACTGAGCTGAGATTGTGCCTCTGCACTCCAACCTGAGAGTGAGACTACATCTCAAACAAACAAAAAAAAAGTGGCATTTGTATGCTTTTTTTTTTTTTTTTTTTATGATGAATCCGATCAAGAAAAAAGGGACAAGTCAGATTTGGCCTATGGGCCATAGTCTGCTCATACCAAGTTTAAGTAGCAATCTAGGAATGAGTATAGGATATTCCAAAACATCAGGAAACAGTTTTTTTGTTTGTTTGTTTTTGTTTTTTTGAGATAGAGTTTCGTTCTTGTTACCCAGGCTGGAGTGCAGTGGAGCCACCTCGGCTCACCGCAACCTCCGTCTCCTGGGTTCAAGCAATTCTCCTGCCTCAGCCCCCCGAGAAGCTGGGACTACAGGTGTGCGCCACCATGCCCAGCTAATTTTTGTATTTTTAGTAGAGACGGTGTTTCACCATGTTGACCAGGATGGTCTCGATCTCTTGACCTCGTGATCCACCCGTCTCAGCCTCCCAAAGTGCTGGGATTAGTGAGCCACCGCGCCCGGCCCAGAAAACAGTTTTTAAAGGCTAAGTTTTCTATATAGTTAAACTCTGCATAAGACAGCAAAATAATAATCCTTTTGGCCTAAGAGGCTTTTTTCAGAATACCTAGCTCTAGTCCCTCTAGTATCTGATCTAATAGTAATTTACAGCACAATTTGAAAATTTGACAGTTTTCTTAAATGACAGAAGTAGACTGGTATCATTCTTATCTGCATTTAAATTCCCATGATAAAAAACAAAATACCTGTAATGTGCCTTCCATAAATGCATCCAGTAAATGGAGAAACAAACTGGGACAAAAGCTGTTTTGGCGTTTTATTTGGAGGGAAAAAAAAATATTTGTTATTTATTCCTAAATGTGTAAATTTCAAAAAAACAGCCTTCAAGTTATATAAAGCATTACTAAATTTCAGACACATTTCATAAAATATGAGAAAAAATATTGCTATCCATCTTATCTTCTGAAGTAATATTTTCTATCTAGTGTATCAAAAGTCTATATATAATTAAATAGCAGATTAATCAGCATATTCATTCAATGCTAAATCTGTTTTCTTGACTTCTGCAGAGACCTTTCTAAAACACTGCTGAAACGAGCTACTAAAAAATTTCATCTATCAGGACAGGCTATCACATTACCCTCTGATAATCATTAAGACAAATTACCAGAGGGTAGTGAGATTTTCAGGAGGTACAAGTATACCAGGCATTTGCTGTAATTGATGTTTTATTAATTTAAATACTTCTTTAGAACTTTCTAGGTGCTAGTCATTGTTCTTGGCACTTTGCATAATCTTCCTAGTATGTGTGTTTTTGTAATTTCTTGGTTTTCCCTCAAAGGCAGCTATCACCTTACACTACTGTCAATATACGGAATTGGGTTTTGTTTTGTTTTGTTTTGTTTTGTTTTTGAGACAGTTTCACTCTTGTTGCCCAGGCTGGAGTGCAATGACATGATTTTGGCTCACTGCAACCTCCGCCAGGTTCAAGTAATTCTGCCTCAGCCTCCCAAGTAGCTAGGATTACATGCATGTGCCACCACGCCCAGCTAATTTTTGTATTTTTAACAGAGACAGGGTTTCACCAAGTTGGCCAGGCTGGTCTCAAATTCCTGACCTCAGGTGATCCACCGGCCTTGGTCTCCCAAAGTGCCAGGATTACAGGTGTGAGCCACCACGTCCAGCCAATATATAGAATTCTTGTGCTATTCACTTCCTCCAAATCTGAACTTCTAACTTGCTGAGAGTTAGACAAGAGATAATATGTGAAGCAGTGATATGGATGGTGAGTTAAAGAGATCAGCTTCACCAGATGAGCTTTTTCCAAAGTTCTGGCCCTCACCAATTGAGAATCACCACCATAGTGAGCTATTAAAATGTTTGGGGCAGTTAAAAAAAAAAAAAGAAAAGAGTGGAAATAATAGTAAATGAGGGAGAGCCAAGGTGCTTTTACTTGAATAAAGCAGAAATAAACTTATACATAGAATTATAACCAGATTTGAAATTTGAAGTTACAGAAACAGTTACCTGTACAAAAGCCTGCTATAAACTGACTTGATTCTCTTTAAGCAGATCTATCAGAAGCAAAATCCTAAAATAAAGAATAGTTAAGTAAAACCAGATCTCACCTGTACATTCTTATAATCTACACGCTTTCCACACAAGATACACTTCTTAAGTGGTTCTTTATAAGGGTTTTCCATTGGAATGGGCTAGGAAAAAAAAAAATGGAAAGTCTGAGAATAGGATGTGTTCATTCTGAATTTTAAAAGGTTACTATTCTACGTTCAAATCCATTCAAAGGATTAGTTATACCTTTCTTATGGTGTACATATTTTGTACAAGTACTTCATTTTGTTTCAGTTTAGCCTATAAATTAACTCATGGGAAGATTCTGGAATAAAGTACAATCTTTGTAGAATAAGGGTTTATGGCAGAAAAATAAAGTGTGTCTGATAAGAAAGTGATTGTTTCAATGCTTTGCCCAGATTGTAGATAACAAAAAAAAATTTTAGATAACATGCCATTCTTAAATGAGTGCAATCCCTAATTTATCCATCCCCATGTCTCTATCTGAAGTATTTTATCATTATTTTTATACACAGATAATGGCCCAAGACTTACTATAATAAAAGTTTCTTTATCATCCCAGACTACTATATAAGTTTGTATCCACCTTTTTGGCTTTTCTGTTATCACTGTTGCCTCTAATGCTTCTGTCACAGTGCCTTCCTCCTACTGTCAGTATGGCTGTCTCCAGGATGGAGGTTCTTAACCTAGAAATGGCTTTTGAAGCCCATGACTCCCTGTAATTGTATGCAAAATTTCAAATGAATGGGACTGTGTGCCTTTTTCTGTGGAGAGGATCCATAAATTTGATTAGAGACAAAGTGGGATTTATGAACTAAAAAGAATAAAGTCCCTTTTTAAAGTACAGTGGGTGGACTGATTACCAAGACACATGCTCAGAGAAACTAGACAAGTTCTTTTGTTTTTTCCAATTCCTCCAAAATTTCCAATTTACATTCAGCTCACATGACTACATTCCTCCTCAGCTCTGTGCAAGTGCTTTGTATAGTCTTAGTGTCAAATTACCTTTGTATATAGTAGGAACCTTTGCTTTCAAGTCCATGCTAATACATTAAACTCATAAAAATATACCAACAGGTTAGAATAAACTGTATTTAATGTCTTGGTGTAAAACTTTAATTTTGATTTTTTTTTTTTTTTTTTTTGAGCCGGAGTCTCACTTTGACACCCAGGCTGGAGTGCAACGGCGTGATCTTGGCTCACTGCAACCTTCACCTCCCAAGTTCAAGCAATTCTCCTACCTCAGCCTCCCGAGTAGCTGGGATTACAGGCATGCACCACCACATCTAGCTAATTCTTTTGTATTTTTAGTAGAGATGGGGTTTCACCATATTGGCCAGGCTGGTCTCAAACTCCCGACCTTGTGATCTGCCCGCCTCAGCCTCCCAAAGTGCTGGGATTACAGGCATGAGCCACCACACCAGCCTTGATCCCTAATTTCTTAAGGCAGCCTTCCAAAAGTGATGAATGAAACATAAATAGGGAAAAAATGTGAATTCAAAATGGGGACGAAAGCCAACCTACAGCTAAGCATTGTACAGTCTCTTTTCAGTTATCTAAAATTCTACTCACCCAAACTACCTTTAAAAATTCCTAAATCATTTGCTTACAGACAGCTACATAAAAAAAGTGGTGATAAATTTGAGAATAATAAAAAAATAAAAAATAAAAAAAATTCCCAAATCACGTATTCTTAAATTTAAGATCTAGGAAGAAAAATATGGTATTATAGCAGCTTTGCTTCTTGCAAAGTAGGGGAAACTAGGAATTCCCTCACTTCAAAACTCACTTAACTGACACCAATTCATCATAATTTCTGAATTCAGAGTAATTATTATCTAATTGTTTTGTCCTACAGCAGAACTCTATTCAAGTGGCTAAAATAAAAGATGTTAGAGTCCAATATCAATTCTCATTTAAAAATTATAATTTGGTCATATTTGCAAGTGCCTTAACAGAAAAATTCTTACCAGGTCCTCATTGCTGGATACCTGTTTATATTGTGAACAACCTCTTCTCCACAGCACTGCGATTAAACAGAAACAGCAATTAACCATTTCTTTTTCTAAGGTGAATAGCTAAAGATTTTTGTTTTTATGGAGACAGTATAAATTAAGGGACACAATATGAAAGAATGGTTTTATATGCATTACATTCAGAATGACTGTTAAG